GCAGCCTTCATGGCAGTGGATACCTACATCCTAATAATGCTTTACAAAACAGCGTAAAGCGGAACATTCTCCTAAAATTTGAGCTCTAACCTAGTATTTTGGCTCTACTATAGTATTGGCAGTAAACTAGGTGAACCTAATTAGTTGGGCACTAGCCCAAAGGCATCTGACATGACTCTACATTTACTTGACAACTAATCTCCTATACTTAGATACGAAGATATATTTCAAGAAACTATCTAATGCTCTAATATTTTCCAGGAATGTACAGGCTAGCAATAAACCAGAACCCCCTGGAGACGATCCACGAGGACGCCTTCTACGGACTGGAGACGACGCTGTGGGAGCTGGAGCTGAGGTACGACCGGCTCACGACGGTGCCCAGCAAGTCGCTCAGGAACCTCGGGAAGCTCAGGCTTTTGGATTTNACACATCCGGAAATACGCCTTCCTCCACACACTTGGCGTACACCAGTTGGAATTCCACCGATGCAGCCTTCCAGACATGCGTCAACATTCTTGCGGTCACTCCATCCAGTCCCGGTGCGGTGTTGGGCAATTGCTTAACCATGATTCGCAGATACTCAAGGGACGGAGGAGACGCGTCTGGGCCAGAGGGGACCAGGGCAGCCGAGATCCGCACCTGTTTGTGGTACTCTGTGTCCTTAGACGGATCGTCGTCCGGGCACAGAGAAAGGGACAGTAAGAATGAGGCCAAAGACCAAAATACTACTAGACAGTGCAGCCCTAATAAAGACTTTTAAGTAACATTCTACTAAAGAAATGTAACTCCAGCCGCCGCCGGAACGCCGCCACCGAGTCGTCCCGCCGACCTCGGCCGAGTTGCAGCTTGGAGCAGTCGAGGAGTAGCATACGGGGCGATATGCGGAACTAGGAGAGAAAGGGACAATTATAATGAGACCTCAAAGATAGAAATAAAGATCGAAAAGTTTTAAGTACATTGTAATAGACAATTGAACTGAATGCGCTGCCCATGGCGTAGCTGTAGCTTGTTTAGCAGTGTATCAGCAGCGTGCGTTGAGAATATGCGGAAGTAGAAGACAACAAGCCAATAAGTAGGTATAAGGCTCCAAATCTTCCATAAACTTCTAAAATGCTACTAGACAATGAAACCTAAAGGCCGAAAGCCCTAAACACTCCTAAGTACCATCATACGAGACAAAAAACTCCAACCACCTCCGGAACTCGTCACTGAGTCATCCCGCCATCTACGCCCGAGCTGCCGCTTGGAACAGTCGAGGATCAAGCATGCGAGGTGATATGCGGAACTGGGAGAAAACACGCCAGTAAGTATAAGGCCTCAAACCCCCAGACTTCTAGAGAATGGAACCTAAATACCGAAAGCCCTAAAGATTTCTAAGTAACAACTAGCAGTTACTAATAGACAATGAAACCGAATGCCTTGCCCGCAGTCGAGCTGCAGCTTGGAGGAATCAAAGAGCAGCATATTTTATATGTATACGTGGGGATATGAATTCGAACAAGAAAAGACTCCAGAGACTTTAAAGATTTCTTAGTACTTATAATAATGGAACCTCCAGCACTAGGTAATTCCTCGCAGCTTTGCTGACGGCGCCCCTCACGACTGTGCACCAGTTCCTAGGGAACCAGCTCGCACTTATAAAACCTCTTTCTGGAAATGGTCCACCTGCTCCATATCCCTCGGGTATCCCTCTAACACGAGCCCATGGTCGTTCCTTGACCAGCTCCTCAGCCATCAGCTCGCATAAGGAGGCTAGCTTTTCTAAGGTTAAACTGACCAAATCAAGATTATTTCTACGCATCTCTTTCTGGAAATGATCCACCTGCTCCATGTCCCTCGGGTATCCCTCCAACACGAGCCCCAGGTCGTTCCTTGACGCCTCGCTCACGGCGCCCCTCAAGACCTTGTTGAACAGCTCCTAAGGGACCAGCTCGCCTAAGGAGGCTAGTTTTTCTAAGAATAAAACTGCCCTAATCATAATTATGACTACGCACCTCTTTCTGGAAATGGTCCACCTGCTCCATATCCCTCGGGTAACCCTCCAACACGAGCCCCTGGTCGTTCCTTGACGCCTCGCTGACGGCGTCCCTCAAGACCTTATTTGACCAGTTCCTCAGGGAGCAGCTCGCCTACATACAAAACTAAATAAACCATGATCTTGACCACGCACCTCTTTCTGAAAATGGTCCACCTATCATGCGCTCGTGGTCGTTCCTCGACGCCTCGCTCACGGCGCTCCTCAAGACCTTGTTGACCAGCTCCTCCGGAACTAACTTGTATACTTATAAGACACCAAATTACGCACCTCTTTCTGGAAATGTTCCACCTGCTCCATATCCCTCGGGTATCCCTCCAACACGAGCCCTTGGTCGTTCCTTGAGGCTTCGTTCATGGCGCCCCTCACGACCTTGTTGACCAGCTCCTCAGGCACCAGCTCACCTAAGTAATCGAGCTGTTCTAAGAATAAAACTGTCCCAATCATAATTATGACTACGCACCTCTTTCTGGAAATGGTCCACCTGCTCCATATCCCTCGGGTACCCCTCTAACACGAGCCCCTGGTCGTTCCTTGAGGCTTCACTGAAGGCGCCTTCACGACCTTATTTGTCCAGTTCCTCAGAGAGCAGCTCGCCTACATACAAAACTAACTAAATCATGATCTTGACCACGCACCTCTTTCTAAAAATGGTCCACCTATCATGCGCTCGTGGTTGTTCCTCGACGCCTCGCTCACGGCACCCTTCACGACTTTGTTGACCAGCTCTTCCGGAACTAACTTGTATACTTATAAGACACCAAATTACGCACCTCTTTCTGAAAATGTTCCACCTGCTCCATGTCCCTCGGGTATCCCTCCAACACGAGCCCTTGGTCGTTCCTTGACGCCTCGCTCACGGCGCCCCTCACGACCTTGTTGACCAGCTCCTCCGGAACTAAATCGTATACTTATAAGACACCAAATTACGCACCTCTTTCTGGAAATGTTCCACCTGCTCCATATCCCTCGGGTACCCCTCCAACACGAGCCCCTGGTCGTTTCTTGACGCTTCGCTCACGGCGCCCCTCACGACCTTGTTGAACAGCTCCTAAGGGACCAGCTCGCCTAAGGAGGCTAGTTTTTTTAAGGATAACACTGACCATATCATGATTTTCACTACCTAAGTAATCGAACTGTTCTAAGGATAAAACTGACCCAATCATGATTTTGACACGCACCTCTTTCTGGAAGTGGTCCACCTGCTCCATATCCCTCGGGTACCCCTCCAACACGAGCCCCTGGTCGTTCCTCAAGGCCTCGCTCACGGCGCACCTCACGACCTTATTGACCAGCTCCTCAGGGACCAGCTCACCTAAATAAGCGAGCTTTTCTAAGAATAAAACTTTCCCAATCATAATTATGACTACGCACCTCTTTCTGGAAATGTTCCACCTGCTCCATGTCCCTCGGGTACCCCTCTAACACGAGCCCCTGGTCGTTCCTCGAGGCCTCGCTCACGGCGCCCCTCACGACTTTATTGACCAGCTCACCTAAATAAGCGAGCTTTTCTAAGAANGCCGACAAGTCATCGTCGTCCGGCGCCGACATGATGCACCTAGTCTACTAAGACTATGCAAATGTTCAACTTTTGGATGCAGCAAAACAAAACAAAAAAGTTCAAGCGAATGTTCTCTTTTTGAGAACCACAAGCACAGAAAAAGTTAAAGCGCAANCTAAATAAGCGAGCTTTTCTAAGAATAAAACTTTCCCAATCATAATTATGACTACGCACCTCTTTCTGGAAATGTTCCACCTGCTCCATGTCCCTCGGGTACCCCTCTAACACGAGCCCCTGGTCGTTCCTCGACGCCTCGCTCACGGCGCCCCTCACGACTTTATTGACCAGCTCACCTAAATAAGCGAGCTTTTCTAAGAATAAAACTGTCCCAATCATAATTATGACTACGCACCTCTTTCTGGAAATGTTCCACCTGCTCCATGTCCCTCGGGTACCCCTCCAACACGAGCCCCTGGTCGTTCCTTGACGCTTCGTTCATGGCGCCTCTCACGACCTTGTTGACCAGCTCCTCAGGGACCAGCTCGCATAAGGAGACGAGGTTTTCTAAGGATAAAATTGACAAAATCAAGATTATTTCTACGCACCTCTTTCTGGAAATGTTCCACCTGCTCCATATCCCTCGGGTATCCCTCCAACACGAGCCCCTGGTCGTTCCTTGACGCTTCGTTCACGGCGCCTCTCACGACCTTGTTGACCAGCTCCTCAGGGACCAGCTCGCCTCCGCTAAGGGACGCCCGGGCTAGGGCTCCATCGGAGGCCGGGCCTCCGCCTGCGTCGGCTAACGCGCGCAAGTGTTGGCCGAGACTGGGGAGAAAAAGGATTTTTTAAAAATTGAACATGTCGATTATATCCATCAGTCTAATTTTAATATTTTGGAAAAACACAGCTTAAATTATATTATTGTTTTAATTTGAATTGAATTGCGTCATTTCATAATCATCATCATAACACCTCCTGAAGTGGAAGGAACCCCCTTCCACTTCAGGAGAACGTTTAGAGGATTTGACCCTTATTTTCCACTCTGAAGAGACGGGTTGGAGAGGCATAATAATTCTACCTCTTAGTCACCTTTTCCGACATCCTCGAGCACAAAGAGACTGTTCCTATTCAACCCTGCTGGAACCACGCGGCTATAGAAAACACACTCCCCACTCTGTCAGACTCAGACAGATTGGAAAGGAAATAGGAATAATAATTTTGTCCCTTAGTGACCTTTACGACATCTACGGGCATAGAGATAGTGGTCCGATCCAACTCTGATGGGATTGTGAAAACGGCATGCACGTACCTACTATCGGCAATATAGTGTTAACTGCCCATTGTCGGTCATGTCGTCTCGTTCTATCACAAAGAATCACCATTTGATGAGAGCGAGAGCAAAAACGGAACTGGATAGTTAACTGTGACCGAAAGTACATGTGTGCTTTATTCTTATCTCACCTGAAATGCGTCCAGCCCTGCCTCCTAGCAACGACCCGTTGGCACAGCGTGGCCTTGTTGCTGCCGGGCCCGCCCACCACCCACAGCACGGGCGGAGGAGCGCCCACCGGAGGCTGCGGCTGGTGGCTGTTCAGAAAACCCTGAACGGTGATCAGTTGGGACTGGAAAGAACAAATTGTTGTATGAGGAGTATGTACACCAACTAATAGTGCTCAGAACGAGTCATGGCTTGTCTTCATTGCCACAACGTATCGTGGTTGTTTTCAGAATTTAGACGTAACATATTGCTACACGTAGAATTTTTTGTCTGTGTTCGGTGGTTGTTAAGAAAACCCTGAACTGTCATTATTATAGTTGAGACTAAAAAGAAAGGATGTAAATACTTGCATGTACCACCTATCCGACCTAGAGCTCTAGGGTTCAATGGGTCAATAAAAATTTCCAAACTGTTTTACATAATATTTTTACCACGTACTTAACTCTATGAGCAATTTAACGTATAGCCTGCGTAATTATTTTTATAATTAGGTACCTACAACAGCTTTCTTCGTTATATCTTTCAGCACGCAATTTATAATGAATGACTATACTGATTTATCGAAATTAGTTGGATCCGCCGCATTGTATTGAGCGTAAAAATTAATAGAGTCGTACCAATAACGACATTAATTAAAACAGGCAATTATTATTGTAATTTCAATGAAACAAAACTAGAGCAAATACGAATATGAACTAAAACTACTCTTTGATCTATAAAACAAAACAATTAAACAACTTGTTCACTTCCCTTTGTAAATAATAAGGTAGGGTCGCGTACTCGCGTATGAATCATTCGGTTCATCGTAACCAATTTAATGAGTAGGAAGTGAGTAATTGAAAATGATACCTTTCCGAATATTCAGGGGTTCAACGACATGAAGTTATAAACTACTACGCCTCTTTTGATACTTCCGTATTTGAAGTAGGTGTAAAACTTATGTTTTCAAGATTTTAATGAAGAAAACAGTGAAAAATAAATGGGAGTACTTGTCTCTACTACGTCACTGTAAAGGCTCGTTCCCACGTTTCTCGCAAAACTGGAAAGTTGGAAACTCTTTGAAACTCAAATGACAAATTCTAACGGAACGGTTTTCGCGGTACACTGCAAAAGGGATGTTCGTGTGATCGTTAATATTAAAACACATATATACTACTAAACGGTATCCTACAAAAAACTGGATATCTCCGTGAGAACACGCCTTTATTACGCATGGCAGATAGACGATCACATCGAGATAATCATCAACATTATTACATTACGTAGTTACTTCACTTGATACGTTGTTATAAGTTGTAGTAGAGATCGTTTCATCCACGAAGACGCATCCCACCATCCTTCCGCTAATGTTTGAGTGTTATCGGTACACGCTAAATATCTATGAGTTCACACGCACACTAAAATAATGACGCTCGGATTGCTCGGAACAAACTCCACGCACCGCGTTTCCTTCGACCAAAAATTGGTGGGGCGCGTCTTCGTGGATGAAACGATCTATACGACTGTAAGTATCTACCAATATGTAAGCCAATGTTACGCATGTAACTTAACAAAAGGTAAACAGAGGATTAAAGAGAATAGGTCAAGGCGTCCTGCCGACCTTCCTATACTCCAGTGCCCTCGGCTTTTACGTTTTACGATAGTCATCACTGTTAATGTGTCTACCAGTACGTTGTGAAGAGCTTTCATTATAGGTAAAGTGCGAAGGACGGATGGAAATTCCACATTGTTGGAAAGATCGTGAAAAGAAGTCGCCGACCACGTGAGAACATAAAAGCATTTGATACGAAAATTACTTAAAAAATACAAAAAACTGTTAAACAGTGTTAAAAATGACCATACTACTTGTTAATGTCAATTTTAACAAGCGTTCAACGGCCGTTTAACTTTTTGTAATAAGCCTTGCCTTAAATGTTTGTCAAAAACTAAGTATTCCTATACCATTCCCCTCGTGATCCGTTTGTCTAGTTATCCATAACAAACATATGAGACATAAACACAATGTTATAACCACCACAGCAATTATTATAAGATTATATCAGCAGTCCCAAAGATTACCCTACATTTGACATAGAAATAACATCTATTTTTACGGGAAATAACTTATAGTTTACGGAAAAGTAAACATCAAGCGATACTGGGACGTGTAAAAGCTTTTTAAAAGCCTATTTGCAGAAAATAAATGATATTTAACTTTTTGACATGACATGACACAGGCCGGAAGCCGTAGCGTGGAAAGGTCACCCACTAGGTGGATTGACGATCTGGTGAAGGTCGCTGGAAGAACCTGGATGCGGGTAGCGCAGGACCCATCGTTATGGAAATCCTTAGGGGAGGCCTTGATCCAGCAGCGGACGTCATTTCCAAACAAACGAACGAATGACTTTTTATCTTCGGCACGATTATTTCAGAGCGTCCATTCTCTTATCCCTTCACTGGTTCACTGGGTCTCCTTACAGTAGCATTCCCAAAGATTACCCTACATTTGACATACAAAAATAACATATATTTTTACGGGCAATAACATACCTTCGGCACGATAATTGCAGGGCGTCCGTTCTCTCTGGGTGGCGTGACCACCGGCGCTGCTATGGGCAGAGCAAACGCCTCGTCCTCCGTGTCTTCTACCCTCACTGGTGTACTAGGCCTCCTAGCAGTGGGGGCGGGTTCCACCCCCACGATCTCCCCAGGGATGCCCCCAGTCCCAACCCCGTTGAGGGCTGCTTGGTCCTCATGCGTGCCCAGGATCTGGAGAACAGCAGCCCTGAAGTCCTTGTACACTTCTTCTGGGTTTCGTTCGCCGTTTACCTGGAAGATAGAATTAAGTTGTAAATTATTGTAAGAGCCACAACTTGCGGTTTCACAGAGATCAAGTAATTGCCTGTATTTGTGTGATGTCCGTTGTAATAAATGTATCTTTCTTTCTTTTTTAATCAGTTATCCAGCAACCACTATTTCTTAGATTATGTAGAGCGTTATATTTGGTTACAGAGATCTAGCTATCTGGCAGAGAAAGACCTCGGCAGTAACCTTCATTTCTTAATAGCGTTACATTATTTCGATAGCTATCTGAAACTTTGTCTTAAGACATCAGGTAATATTATAGAGAAAGAGCCTTATCATTTTACAAAATATAGTAAAAGTTACGTCGATCTCTAAAGAAGTAAACAAAAACATTTCCTTGCTATTCCAGTATAATTATGACACTGCTGCAACGTAAGACAAATAACTAGTAATTTCCATTAACAATTCAGCAGTCTGCAAAACCAATACCTGCCCTTCAAGCTGACGCTTCATCGAAATTACAGACATCAGTTCGAATTACAGTGCAAATTCAATCAACGCCTGCTCCTTTCTCAGGCATGCTGTAATTTCTTCGGCCATTATTTCTGTAATTATTGGCTGTGCACGCTTGCTAGCTAATTACGGGTAATTATGGTTCGCCACTGACTGACATAGATACTTGGGTCACAGAGTCATACATCATAAATGAACTGGGTAACGGCGTTTTCTTGGGTGAGAACGCGAACATACGGGGTTGGTTTTGGAGCGTGAACGCTGAAAAAGTTTTCTAGAGGTCAGTTTAAGTTTTAAATTGGAACAATCAATAAACTGAAAGTGTGACTGACTTCTATAGAATTTGGCAGCTAAAGGGATATTTGCAAGTTTTGCAACATAGTCTCAATTTACTTCATAGAAGACGTTTGGTTAACATCTCACACATTGACAAAATATAATTCAGAAAATAGTAACGGAAACACGGCTATAGAAATATTAATGTTTCTCTTGAGAGATTCCTGTTTAACAACCGCGGTGACTTCTTAAAACAAGATTTTATTTAAAATGTTTGTAGCTTAAAATTGAATTTATAACTGGAGAAAATCGCATCGCTTAATGGGCGAAATATGAGCTGTATGTGTGTCAATTCAACCTAAAGCATATCAATAATTGGGTCGACCACACATTTGCTCACTAAAAATTCATAACTGTTTCTTTGTTACCAGCCGATACCGGCAATGGCCAGGTTATTTATTCAGAAATGGACTAAGGAAGTGGTAGTTGGAAACCCGTTAATCTTCATCAGAAGGTAATCTTTCAATATTTAGGTAACCCACTTTGGAAAAAGGTGATTCTTAATTAGGTAGAATTCAGGTTATTCGGGAAATACCCCCAAGGTAAAAAGTAGAGTATTCTCTTCTCCATAGGGTCAGGGGGTTTAGGCACCACGTCAGCTTAGAGATAGGAAGGAACAGATTAACGCCCGTATTCACAAACATTACCATGAGGTCTCACAGTGCGAGTGGACGCACTGGGTGACACACGAACCAATCACAGAGGTCTATTCAACGCTGTGCGTCCGATTTGCTGCTTCACTAAGCTAGCATCGTTTGTGAATACGGGCGTAAGGCTTGTTCCCACGGAGATATCCCGTTTTTTGCAAGAACTGTTTTTGCAAGATTTGTAATAATAAATATACGTGTATAAATACTTACAAAAAACCAATCAGTTCGAATTTGTAATTTGAATTTCAAACACATAACTAAAATGTACCTCACCAGAGATGAGGTCTGGTGAAGGTTGCGGGTAGAACCTGGATGCGGGCAGCACAGGACCGGTCGTTATGGAAATCCTTGAGGGAGGCCTTTGTCCAGCAGTGGACGTCATTTGGCTGAAACGAACGAATAGCGTACCTATTCACACGACAGTTGAGTTTTGCGAGATCTTACATTACTGGATTCCGCAAAACTGGATACCGTGGGAACGAGCCCGTATGCTTGACCTCACTAGAGCTTCGTTTGTTTTAAGGTGCTGATAGACTTGAGCATTCACTTGTAACAGAACATCGAGCATTCACCGTTTTTATATTTGTCGAACTGAACAACGAGCCAAGCATAGAGCCAAACATTGCTATGAACGTTTTCATGAGCATTTTAATGAACGCTCTAAAATAACAATAACTAATTATTTTACAACACACTGGAGCTGGAGAGTAACAGGGTTGAGGGGAGGGTCGTCGCAGAGCGGTGGGGTGCGGAACGATGACCGAAGCTTGGCTCGCCAAATAGCTCGAAGCAATGCTCGCTAGAATACTCGCCAGAACGCTCGCTAAAAGGTTCTCGTATTTTTCTTTGATGTAACATTCGCACAAATGCTCATTACAAGTGAATGCTCAAGTCTATCAGCACCTTTAGAATACTTTCCACTGTATTCCCTATCATATAAACTGCAGTCATGCATTTATAATGAGCCGTAAGGCTTTTGTGTGTCATTAAGTAGAGTAAGCAAATAATAGGGTGTGGACACATGTCCCTTGAATTATAGGGTATAATTTTCAAGCATATTGGTTTTTTCATGCAGAATAATTTTCAATAGATTGTTCGATAAATTATATGTAATCTACTAGGGAAGAACCTAGATAGATTTATCTTATTGATAGACTCCACTCAGCCTAAATTGAAGGAGCTACGACAAGGTTTTTGGCTGTTTTAGGTTTAAAAGCGTTTAATGTTTCTTTTCAGACAGTTAAACCCCACAGAAAGGTACACTACTAAGTGTCCTATCTGGAAATCGAATCAAGTAACTATGAGTCCAGAGAGCCTAACATAGAGGCGTCCGAAAGTAAATTAATGATTTTATAACATGCTTCACTTTTATTTCACAACAAATCCGCGTGGTCCCGGGTTCGATTCCCAGTGGGAGCAGATTTTTCTGTTCGGTTTGGTTGGTGGTAGGGCTTGTTCTAAGTCCGCCTGGCTAGCTACCACCATCTTACCTAAGTCTGTCGCCATAACAACAATGTTAACAGAGCATTGTTGTGTTCTGGCAGTTAGAGGTAAGATAGCCAGTTCCTCCGTGGTTGAGGATTCCGGGTGAAGCTCGCTTCCTCCTTCGGCCTGATCATCACTTACCATCAGGTGAGATAGAGGCCAAGACCTTTCTCGTTATGGAAAAAAAATCGTTCTAATACATCTTCGTCAACAGTTCAAAGAAAGTTCGCAAACATAACATACCCTATCTTTCAAATTGAATGTTATCGATACATTTCAACATGATCGACATGTGCCAATCACATACTTACAACCGGCAATTGTTTGAACGTTAAAACAGTAAAGTGTAGAGCGTTGGAGTCCATTAAAGTTTCATCGACTATAGTCAGCTGGTGTTTCTCACGTCTATCGTGCATAATGTAACAGCCTGAAGACACTGCTGCGGTGTGTAATTTTGTCAATAACACGTGCCTTGGGCCTGACGAGTGATATGAAGGTTGTGCGACTGAAAACAACAGAAACATCTAGAGGCTAGTTTTCGATGTCAACAGACATTAGCAGTCGCGTAAACAAAATAATGGGACAATTTGAAGAATGGCTCCGTTACGATAACGATAGCAGACTGGTTGAGTTGTTGAGGCCCTTGAGGGTTCAAGTCCCGCAAGGGTCGTGGATTCATATCCCGGAGACGTGATCGATATACGTATTGACTATTGATATTATTTGAAACGTCAATCATATGCAACAAAAATGGAAAGTTCAAACTTTTTTGGTAATTTTTCAGGAACGAATTATTTTACTCCTGAAAACGCATTAGCGCTCCATGTTGAACTTGTACTAGGATTTCATAATTGCGTATCGCGATTAATTCAATTATGCAACGCGAAAGTTTAAAATTAATGAAGATTTTATAATGTTGTCGTCTTCGATAAGTAAACAAAAAAAATAGTATAGCTAATCGTTAGATGCAGACGTCATCGTCGGTTTGTCACCGCTTTTCCGAGAGCTTTAAATTATGCATGGATTCTGTAATCACCTGAAGGTAGATACGACGGTGGCTATTTTGTTTAGTTGCAATGTTAAAAAATATAGCCATAGGACGTAGGATAATTGCATGACGTTATCACTTATTTATGACGTCACGTAATTGATTAACGATTAGTTCTTGATCATAAATTACCCAACACAATAGCTAGAGATTAAATTGAGAATTTCAGGGTTTTTATTAGTAAGATGAACCATAGAGTCAAGTTTCAATATTTGTACCAATGAAAGGCTTTGATCTATCCTTGAGTACAGACGGCATCAAATACTTCGTGACACTCACAGTAGCCAAAGAGACAGACTTAGATAAGATGGTGGTGGCTAGCTAAGCGGACTTAGAACAAGCCTTACCACCAACCAAACCGAACAGAAAAATCTGCCCCCACTGGGAATCGAACCCGGGACCTCTGCGTCTGAAGCAGGTGGTCTTACCACCAGAACACAGAGGCGGTTAAACGTGGTTAAACCAGTTAAACCGAGACTGTACCTATAGATAGATTCATTGAGTATTGTTTCCTAATACGACCCTATGCTACTTGTTTATTCAACTTTCAAGAATCTAAATTATTCACATGGACATTTTACTCCACCGCTGTAGGCAATTTGACCAATATTGGTTTGGACATTCGAATTAAGAGTCAGTTCGTGATTGTAGTAATTTTCGTTTCGACAATTTTTTGATGACTCATGTCATTTAATTTCGTGGTAAAGCCGTAAGCAAAGCTTGTAGAATTTAGTCCAATTGAAATTGAAATAATTATTTTATTGCATGTCACATGGGTAAGGGTTGACAGAAGATAATATTATTTGTACATCTGTCATGCCCGTATTCACAAAGATTACTATGAGGTTGAGGAGAGCAGAAAGAAGGAAGAAACTAATAAAAAAAAAAGCTAAAAAAAAGTAAAAACAATCGCAAAGTCATAGACATTTTTTAACTTTTATTCGATTTTGAATGAACTTTTATATCGCCGCGTCGTTGGTGGTTCAATGTGC